TACTTAAACGATATTTTGCCCACATCTGGTTGACTAAAAATAAAAACATTCCATTTCAGCCTTTAAATCAGAGGCAACTAATTCTTAACATAGTTGACTTCATCTTCAAGACTGAAAGTAAAGTCAAGTAGTAGCTGCTGGGAGACAGAGGATATCAATACGGAAGTTTTAGAGTAACGGGGGATCCTGTGTGTGTGGAATGAGAGTACCAGTATCAGTATTAGTATATTGAGGGATGCGTAGGAAAAATTCCTTTGAGTGTAGTAGATAATGCACAATCTCTGCTATCGCTTAAAACTAACTCACGCGCAAGTCATCGTCCCCGCACCAACCTCCTTGGAGCACATGGTGGACATAATCGAAATCGATTGTCCAACTGTCGTGTGTGTGTGTGTGTGTGAAATCAGATGATTCAGCGGACCTCTGCATGACTAAATCGCACCTTCAGCTAAATTCCTTGTGGGTTAGGGGCAAACCGTCATTACGGGAAATAGTATCCCCGAAATTTACCGCGAAGTCAGTCCCGTTTTCTAGCTTGCTAAAACTGCTGATGGATAAGTTCCGAAACGTCTACTCACTGCCAACACGGCGGCTTCCAAAATAACCGGTTAAACATTTAAAAGAAAGCCATAAGAACACAGTCGCTCCGTCTGGAACCTGACCGGCACAGTGTTCTTCATGCCCGAACCCCTGAAGAATTTAAAATGTGATTGGATTCAACAGAGGCAGACGTTGTTTTTCCTGTTCTCCGACCGGATGTAGGAACTTGATCTTTGAAACACCGCAGATTTTGCATAAACTACCCAGTGGAATATTGCCACACGAATTTTATGGCGCTCTAAGGCCGCAAGGGCAGCACTGAGATGTCAACTAGAAAACAGGTACAGTAAGGAGAACACTGGTTGGAAGTAAACTAAGACGCATGGAGACCGCACGCAACCTACTCAGTCAAATGCTGTCTAAAATTCTACACCAATTTACACGCCCAGCAAAACTAAGAAATCAAATGGGATAAGGGGATAATCCGGTGACCGCTATATTACCTGGTGTCCGGGGCCACTACCTCTCAAGCATGTCTGGGGTAAGAATCACGTTTCAGCCGCGACACGAAACCCTCGATCGCCTCCTAAAAATCTGCCGACGTGCTATCCAGCAAACACGGTTGACCGACTTACTTTAAACACAAGCCTACGTGGACTATGGAAATGATGGTAGTTCACAGGTATTAATTAATAATATGGGGGAGGGGTTGCATGTGTCTATGTATACTCGGCGACCTTGAGCTAAATTCAAAGAGACGTTTGCGTTTCTGTAT